GAGCTCTGCAGTGTCAGACAGGACAATCCCACTCCAAACTCCCACCCACCCACCTTCCCCAGCCCCTTGGGCAGCTCCTCTCCCAGCCACCCTCGGCATGTGGGAGCTCAGGGGTCCCCTGAAACGATGATCTGGGGGGGTACAGACAGGAGGAGGAGGGGTTAGCTGCAAACATTTATTGAGCAGACAACACATCTCACGCGAGGGGAGAACATTTCGGACACGAAGCTGCTGAACCTGCACAGACACCGGGTCACTCCAACCCCCCCAGGAGCTGTTTGTGAGGAGCAGCCCCCATGTGTGGCTGTGGCTGTGCTGGAGGGCATGGGAAATCCCCAGGGAGAGGGAAATCCCAAACATCCCCTCTGCCCATGGGCACTGGGAATGGGCTGTGGGATTGGGCCGCTCACTGCGGGGAAATCTGTGCTCCTACCCCCTGTCTCCAGAGCAGGGCAGAGCCTGGAGAACCCCCTCCTTCACACCTCAGCACCACTTCCAACCCCTGCCCCTGCCCCTGCCTGTGGCACTGCCATCCCCACGGGGCTGGGGCAGGCTCGGGGGGCACCGGGGGCTGCGCAGGGCAGAGCTGAGGAGGATTAAGGCCAAGCAAGGCTGAGTCCAGTGGGCAGCGTTGCACCAAGAGCGTGGCCTTCCCCAGCTGTCCTCGTCACCCTGACACCACGAGGAGCCCGTGCCAGGGATCAGGGAGCTGGGGGTGTCACTGGCTGCCACCACCTGGGCTCTCTCCCTCCGTCAGGGTCTTGAAGTCCATGGAGAGGGCCAACTCCTCGGCCAGCGGCGGGCGCTTCCACTCCTCCCGTGTCACCATGTAGCCCACCACCAGCCCGAAGGCCACCAACATCACCCCCAGGCTGTTGGCCAGGACGCCCTCGGGCACAAAGTGGCTGTAGGAATCACTGCAGGGATGGAGTGGGATACTCAAGCCTTGGGGTTTGGGGGGTCTGTCCCTCCCTTGGCTGGGAGCCCCTCCTCATCCTCATCCTTCACACTCTCGGTGACAGCACAGTCCTCTGGTGGGACTGTTGGCAGCTCAGCAGCTTCCCTGCCAGATGTGCTGCCCCAGCCAGAGGGACATGACTCCTGGGGTGCCCCTTGGCCCTGTCCCCACAGTCCTGGGGCTGGAGGGAGACCCACTGGGGGCATCACTGTGTCCTCCAGCTGCAAGGGCAGAGGCCTCAGGGACGTGAGTGTCCCCAGAAGGTTCTGCAAACACCCAGCTGCAGGGAGGTGACACTGGTAATGTATTCCCGTCCCCAAAGAAAGCTGTCACAGGATCCAGCCCTTGTTAAACATCATCTGGGAAGTGACTCAGCAGCAGCAGAACTAAAGGCCTCAAGGGGAGATTTAAGAGCCACAGCCTGAGCAGGGGCCAGACTCTGACCCAGGGGGCTGGAGCAGCCAATTGCTGGGGGTCAGGGTGGTCTGGGGGGCCACCCTCTCCCCCCAGCTTGGTCACCCACCTGATTTTGAAGAGGAGCATCTCAGTGATGCCCAGCAAGCAGGAGGCGATGGAGAGGATGAAGAGGGCGATGCCAAAGAAGATGTGCTGGGGCTTGTACCGGCCTCGCAGCGAGAAGGAGGCACGGGGGAACAGGAAGAAACC